AACTATAACGAATATATATTCGTTATAACATAGAAATAACGAATATATATTCGTTATAGTTGTTTTTCGACCAAATCCACCTTTAACGATCGTGCATTCGTCATATAATACATTATAAAGATAATAAACTACTAATAGGTCTAAGTTTAGTCATTTTTCAAGTTAAAATGATGAACTTACAAATATTTTACATCATGTTTCTATTTTTTTTTATTTAAACATTTCGTTCCAATTTGCTATATGACCTACATACAATCGTTAAAACGTATATGACCAAGGAAACAAGTATCATTATTTCACAAAATGAGATTCGTCGAGACTACACAAAAAATAAAATAAAAAAAAAAATAAAAGGCCCGCGACAGCCTGCTTGTCGCGGCCGCGATAGAACGTCGCGCGGGTAGGTCCACATTTTGTGTCGCGCCCGCGATGAGCGTCGCGGCCGCGACGTCCTGGACAACTTTTTTTCCAGAAAATAACATCATCATGTCGCGCGCGTGACACCCGTCGCGCCCGCGACATCCTGGGAAGATCTCTGCCGATCGAATTGCAGCTTCCGTGTCGCGCCCGTGATCGTAGTCGCGCCCGCGACGCTGATAACGACTGTACTTTCGTTATTTTTTAGTTGATAACGACTGTACTTTAGTTATATTTATATTTTTAGACATTTTTTGTGTAATACTACTATATAATACTATAAAACGAGACTATAGGCGTTACTAACTACATTGTAAAAATATTTGAATAATCACTACATTTTTTTTTTAGCAATCATAATCACTACATTGGATACATAAAACATTATACACAAGTTCAAATACAACTTCAAGGTTTTGCAACTATATAACCGAGTCAAAACACTATACCAAAAGTGAAAACACTATAAGTCAAAAGCACTACACTAGTCGAAAATATAACCTCACGTCGCTTGATTGAGGTTAATCTCCTCACACTTTCCACGATTATGGCCGGGTTTTGAACACTTGCTACATTTACGTATTTGGCGAGGTTTAGAAGTTGATTTTTTTCGAGCCTCACCTACTGATTTTTTCCGTTCGAATGTAGGTCTGCCCCTTGGACGTCGTGATAATGGCGGCAACACAGTTCTTGACATAATTTGTTCCGGAACCATCCAATCGGTCTCACTAGGCAACGGGTGAATGGGTTCAGAGTATGCCTCTCTCCAAGAAGAGCTCGAATACATTCCAGTGCAGAATGTGTAGCCGTTGCCATTCTCAAATCTTATTGCGGCAATGGCATGTGCACATGGAAACATATCCACTTGAAACTTCCGGCAAGTGCATAACCTTTCCTCCAGATCAACTATATGTCTTCCACCAACTTGCAAAATCATCGGGGATACATTGAGCACTTCTAGTCCATTGGACTCGTTGTAACTGTTGCGCATCTTCTGCTCAAATGGTGGCGTAAGAATACTACTGCATTTTGTAGAATTAAGATTTCTATCGTAGAACCACTTTTGCAGTGTCGCCCGGATATGTTCAATAAGACCAATGATAGGAAATTCTCGAGCACGCTTTAGCACAGAGTTCAACGATTCAGCATTGTTTGTCGTCATTATGTTGAAACGAGTTGCTCTAAAATGTGCTCTAGCCCAACGGTGCAACTCGGCTTTCTCGAGGTATTCCCGCATTTTCTTATGCTTATTGCATAATGCTGCCATGTTGCTTTCGAAATGAGACATCGTGTAGGCTTCGGCTGTTGCCCAAAACAATACGTCTAATTCCAACCTTGGAAAGTCCGATTTTAGGTTTCTCAACAGGTGATAGTTACAATATCCGTGATGTGCATGTTCAAACACTTGAACAAAAGCACCAGGAATACTGCTTCCCCTATCCGAAACTATAACAAGATCTGGAGAATCGCCTGTTATATCTTTCAACTTTTCAAAGAAGAAAGTCCAAGAAAGATGGTTCTCGGAGTCTACTATTGTCCAAGCCAGTGGATAAATTTGAAGATTTGCATCCTGACATGACGCAGTGAGTAAAGTACCACGATATCTCCCCGTTAAGAACGTCCCATCCACAGATATTACTCTTCTGATAGAAGAGCGGAATCCACGAATGCACTGCCCCAAAGCCATGAAAAAAAAATTAAAATGGTCGTCCTCACTTGTTTCGATGAAAGTGACTGTCCCAGGATTTGTTTGCTCCAAATAGTAGCAATATGAAGGGAGTTTTGCGTAACTTTCTTCCGGGCAACCTCGAATGAGACCAAATCCATGATACTTTGCCATAAACGCTTTTGTGTAGCTGATTGTTATCCCAAACTTCTCTTGTACATCAAAAATAATGTCCCTTGGCTTATAAATCCGATTGACGTCTTTATACTTTTCGGAAATGTGCTTCCCAATCAGCTTATACGTCGCATGCCTGTGATGTTTACGACGCACACTCATAGAGCAAGTGTGATTACCGACATACTTACGAACCACAAAAATTTCACCACTATCTATCTTCGCCGCTCTCAAACGCCAAGGACAATTTCTTTCAATACAAGCAACTACACACAAGGTCTTCGTCGATTTTACCACTCGGAATTCAAAGTGATACTTCACGGCCAACAACAAAATTTTATCTACCAAGTCCTTTTTGGTTGAGAAGATATTGTTACATTGCACATCTTCATTCTCTGGGATCATCACAGAAGATGGACAACAGAGAGGACTCATAGAGCAACTTGCATTCTCAACCATGGCATATTATGCTGAAAAATTCTCACGCGCCTCTTCTATCAAAAAAGTGGTTCCTCTTTCTTCTTCAACTTCAACATTTGTTTCCATAGGACTATCTCTATTCTCCAACATAATCTCTCATTGACCTTCGAGCGGCTCGCCAATTTGATTTTCCCACGTAAGTGTTTCGATCGCCTCTAAATTGTCATTGTTTGTTTCTTCTTCAACTTCAAGATTTTGTTCAACTTCAACATTGTTCGTTTATTCCTCAACAAGTTTTTCGACAAGTGTTACGCAAAGAGGATGTTCGTCACAAACAGATATATACCATTTGACCGCCTCATCATCGTCGATCTTCACAGGGGGGGCTGGAAATTTGGTCATTCTTGGGTTCAATGATCGCAATTCTATTACGTGTGAACTGCTATCGAACTTTATGCGCTTCATGACCGCATCTTCGAGCTCCAAAAAGATATGTCGTCGGGAACGTAAATAGGTCTGATATTCTTTTCATTTTCGTTCACATAACTCCACGTCCAAGTGCCATCCGTATTATTTTTAAACTCGACATAGTAGCATACTTGTATCCACACCATCTTTGCTAAAATCAATATCTACAACAAAAAAAATATATGTTACTTAGACAAGATAATTGTGGAAACACATCTTACTAACATAGGATATAATATACAATGTTCTTAAGTATAGTCTTTACAATTTATATATAACAACTATTTCAGTCATAACGAAAGTATATTCGTTATGAAATAATCATCTAACGATTCTATATTCATTATGAGAAAATTATCAAATAACGAATAGACATTCGTTACAACAATGGATAACAACTATAAATTCGTTATGAAATATCAAATGCAACATCATATAAAAAAATAGAAAATAAAACGTGAATGGCACAAAAAACATCATATCAAATGTAACTAAACTACATTAGGATATGTCATAATTAAAAATAATGGGAATGTCATAACGAAATTATATTCCTTATGAAATAAACATCAAATAACGGATCTACATTGACTATGAAATAATTAAATAACAAATCGACATACGTTATGAGATTATTCCTTATATAACGAATGTACATTCGTTATGGAACTATATAACGACTGTACATTCGTTATGTACCAAAAAATTAAAAAAAAAAAACTCAATGCCACAAAAAC